CGCGGTAAAAATTAACATGGATTGACACGGAAATTTAGTAATTACACCATAAATGCATATAATTAAAGTCTGCTGTTTCACAGTCAACACATGGCTTTTTGGCTAGATTTAAAAAGTTAAAGTGCACTTTTAGATAAACAAGGCAATAATACATGGCACTCGTGGTGGTAGTTAAACAAAGTTATATTTATTGAGTTTAAACGTAAATATGTCTATGAAAGATTGTATTACTGTACTGTGATAAAAGAGAATCACAATGCTGAAAATGCATTTTCAGAAACAATGTTTGGATTTGAAATCAAAATAATGGACAAATGTTGTGTTTGTGGTAAACAGCCGCGGATCAGGAGCGGACAGCAAACGCGTCCTGTGCGAAAGCAAAATGAGTCCGTGCTGCTTCTGCACCGCATACATATTCAGTAAGCAAAAATAATTTGCTAAATATGACAAACCTTTTCACTCATGCCAAATCTGGTCACCATCAGTTTGGCTATTTTTGTAGCACTGTCAAAATCACTTGATGCTCCTAAGGAAAAACAACAAAACATTACACGGATGAACAGAAATAAGTGATTAGCATCATTTTGCGGTATTTATTATTCATGCATTGTTTTCTCGCATATTTGCAAAATGTGATGTACAATAAACACACTCACAGCAAGGTCACTCTATAATATAATAATACTAGTCTTTCATTATAAATAATACAAAAAACATTTTGAATGACACTGCAACCCCAGAGCAAACAGTACTGCAACATACCAGTGGTGATATTCTCACTGCCAAAGATGAGCTCCTCAGCCACTCGGCCACCCATGCTGACGTCCATCTGGGCCAGAAGTTGAGAACGAGTTTCACTCCAGCGGTCATTTTCTGGGAGCATGGACACCTATAGAGAGGAAAACAAAAATACTGGCACACTGTCTCACACTTGAAAAATAAGCATGTAGCTCCAAAAAAATTCTAACGCTGACTTTACAGTTTCCACCTAGTGTGAAGAGATGAGCCCTTTCAAAGTAGAAACTCTTATAATCAATTAAAATGTACTCACATGACCCAAAGTGGGGCCTCTCGGCATAATAGTGGCTTTATTTATGGGCATGGCATCTTTGGTGTAGTATGCAATAATAGCATGGCCTGACTCATGGTACGCTGTGATCTCTTTATTCTTCTTGTCAATCTCTGCGCTCCTGCGTTCCGGCCCTGCAGAAAGGAAAAGTCAATGGAAAACAAGGGATGCACCAAAATTTCAGCCACTGAAAATATTCAACCCAAACAGCAGAAAAATGAAATTTTCCGTTTCACCCAAAATGGATTTAATAGGCCAAACATCAGTGCTTCTGTAATGGTCAGTTCCATGCACACAATGTAAATAAGCTGCAACAGGTAAACATGTCAGCATGGACAGACTTCTTCAGGACCAAGACTGATACTAGAATAGCAATATGTGACCCTGGACCACAAAACCAGCCATAAGGGTACATTTTTTTGAAATTGAGATTTATACATCATCTGAAAGCTGAGTAAATGAGCTTTCCGACGATGTATGGTTTGTTGTCATAGGACAATGTTTTGCAATATTAGGCTGAGATACAACTATTTAAAAAATTTGGAATCTGAAGGTGCAAAAAATCTAAATATTGAGAAAATCGCCTTTAAAGTTGTCCAAATGAAATTCTTAGCAATGCAATTTACTAATCAAAAAGTAAGTTTTGATATATTTACGGTAGGAAATTTACAAAAAATCGATAATTTTGACCCATACAACGTATTGTTGGCTATTGCTACAAATATACCCGTGCGACTTGCGTGACCCTGGACCAAAAAAACAGTCATATGTAAAATCTGTTCGGTTGAAATATCAAAAGGCGTCTTGTTGCCAAACAGCTTTACTATGACACCCTATGCACACTAGGATAGTATATGACACCCTGAACAGAATACAGACTTCAGCTGCCCAAATTTAATTACTAAAACTTTATTTTTGGGTTTGGTGTTTCTACAAAAAATGATTTCCGGTGAACTATGGAAAAATTTCATTATCTGAAATTTAGGGGTAAATGTGACTAATATGAGCAACAAAATGTACTTCATGCAGCCCGAGTTAGAGGTACCTACCCATCAGTATTTTGTCCTTAGCAAACTCCAACTCCTTCATGGTCACCATGTCTTTGCTATCGACAGCTGCCTTTAGTGCAGCCTGATTAACTAGATTCTCCAGCTCGGCTCCAGAGAACCCCACCGTTCCTCTAGCAATGACCTCTGCCTCCACAGCTAATGTCCAGAAAATACAATAATCCTTAAGAACAATTACTTTTTTTTTTTACCACCTCACAACATTAAGAAATTAGTCTTTCACAGACCACTTACCACTGTCTACTTTAATTTTTTTAAGGTACCACTTGAGGATTTCAGTGCGGCCCTTCACATCTGGTCTGGGGACAGTGACCTGCATATCAAAACGGCCTGGCCGGATCAGAGCACTGGGGAACAAGACTGCATTCAGATTTTCTGACCAATCAACAACATTATATTGACAAAAGACTCACACAAACTCACAATAACACATACATCTTATTATCTTTTGGCATATTGTAAAACAAGCAAGCTTTAGTCTTTAGATGTTCGAAAAGAAATATACATACTTATCCAAAGCTTCAGGGAAGTTTGTTGCTCCAATTATGATGACACCTTCATTTGGCTTAAACCTGCATATGTTAAAAACCAAAAGTTAGTGAAGGAAACTCAAACTTTTCACTCAAGTACAGACTGCAATGAAGTCACTCTGAGTAGCACGGCTCACCCATCCATCTCTGCTAGAAGCTGATTGATTGTCTGTCTAGAATAGGGGTGCATGGGGGACTCGATCCTCTTTCCTCCAACACTATCCAGCTCATCAATGAAGATAACACAAGGAGCATTAGCTTTAGCTTCCCCTAGAGAACAAATGCAGGAGAACTGCTTTAATACATGCATACAATCATTCATTCACTAATTAGGCACAGGAGAGCACTTTTGATTTTCACTGAACTCAGAATCAGGCACATAATATGTCCTCATCTATAAACAATCTGGCTTGAATTATGGCTCTATGCAAGCTAGGTACTCACTGAAAAGGTTTCTGATTCGACTGGCACCAACACCAACAAACATCTCATCGAACTCTGAGCCAGATGCGTAGTAGAATGGCACATCTGCCTCACCTGCCACAGCACGGGCCAACAGGGTCTTTCCTGTACCTGGAGGCCCAACCAACAAGATTCCTATGAAAAGAAAAAATGAAATATGGACTGCTGTTATGGTGTCTTTTTTATCCTTTTTGAAGCTTGAGACTACTACTGGATGGTGAAGGTAGATGTAGTTGTAAGTATTTTTTAAAAGTTTATTCCACAGATTAAAAAAAAAAAGAAAAATCATACAGGTTTGCTAAAACATGACGGTGAGCAAACAACAGTAGAATTTAAATGTAACTATTAATTTGAATGGTTCTGGCTTGGAGCCTTTCAAGCAAAAGTGTGCTCTTGCCTTTAGGCAGCTTTCCTCCCAAAGCAGTGAACTTCTGTGGGTTCCGGAGGAACTCCACCACTTCCTGCAGCTCATTCTTGGCCTCCTCCACACCCTTCACATGCTCAAAGGTGACGTTCTTCATCTGGACAGGGTCCACTGCTGAGTCCAGGCCTGATGTGGTTCGGAATCGCACTGTCCGGAAAGGTTACATTATAGTACACACACACACACACACACACACACACACACAGGGCCGTTTCTAGGCATAGGCGAGCTAGGCGGTCGCCTAGGGCACCACCAGCTGAAGGGGCGCCAATGAGCGCACGTACTGGCACTTTTAGCAGGGTTGTGATAAAGAGTGGCACGGTCACCCTGAAATATGACTGCCGCCCCCCAACATTATTGGGCTAGAGTGCTGTCAATCTGACGATGCCTGTATGCCACTAGATCAGAGTGCTGTCAATTGCTGCCTGATTGTTGCATGCAAAGTTTGCATTTGGAGCGCTCAACAACGCCATTAGATCAGTGGGCTCTGTCAGTGCTTTGGCAAGGTAACACTTTTTTTTGCCATGCAATAAAGCTAAGTTCAAAGGCCAATTTAAAATATTGGTACAGTAAATAAAGTGCACAAAATCAGTATTTTGTTTAGGCAGTATTTGTGGCACTTTTGTGGCACATTTGTCCAAATATTTGTGGCAGATTTGTCCAAAAGGTGTGCGTTTTTTGCGCCAATGCATTGTTAAAGGATCAGCGTGTCATGTAATATTCCCATATAAACTTTAACATCCAATTAAAACAATATTTGTATAATAAAATTCGCTAATTCACAAGATCAATACATCCTTTATTAGACTGCTTTGTCGAGTTAAATGCATCCTTACGGAGGTGTCGAAATGCTGAATCAATTCATTCACTTCCAACAGCGCTTAATGGGAGCAGCGTCATAGAGGGCAGAACCGTCACGTTATTACACACAAAGCTTACTAAGCCACAAAAGGGGCATGCCAGCCAAGAGAGCATTAATGGTTTTCAATCCAAGTCAAAACTTTTACTAATGATTAAAATGTTAGATTCACACTGGTAGACATGACACAGGGAATAAGCTATAAGGAATTTAGGGAGACAAATCATACATGCCAAAGATTCTAAATAATATTTACCTGATAAGAAAGGTGTTTTTGAGAGTCCATATAAGCCCACCAGCAAAAGCACCAATAGTATCAGTCGTGTCCTCCTTAATGATTCTATTGGAGATGACAATATGATGTTTTTTTAAATACAATAATAAAGTGAGAAAGGAAATAATTACATCAGGTTGAGAAACTTTCTCCATTCAATAGACCTTAGTCAGGGCAAAAACAAGGCTGTGAGAGACAGACTTACGGTATTTACAGTACTGTATGAAGGTCACATTATATTCAAAACTCACACAAATGGTTTTATGGAGCTTTTGTCTACTGAAAGCCTCAAGAAAACTTGCCTTGGGTTCTCTGTGTTAGGGCCTGTGCTTTTAGGAATCCCTCTGCAAAACCAGTCTTAAAAGCATCATGCTGACCATCAGGAATGTTTTTGTTTTTAAGGAGCTTGTCCAATGTTTCAACATCTGGCACTTTGTCTCGTGTAAGGAAACCCTGGTGGACAAAAACATAAATAACATTAAAATTGTGCTCCTGTTGCTCAGTGGTAGAGCATTGCGTTAGCAGCGCAAAAGGTCATGGGTTCGATTCCCAGGGAACACACATACTGGTAAAAAATGTATAGCCTGAATGCACTGGGATAAAAGCGTCTGCTAAATGCATAAAATTAAATTAAATTAAATTAAAATTAAAATGGCCATACAAACCTTCTCTCTTTACAAAGGACATTTACAATGTGCTAAAAAACCTTAAAGCATAAATAATAAACACTACATAACATCATTTAAAAGAAAGCACGGTATTACTGTGTGGGTGACCTTCATAAATGATGGTGTAAATCCCTCAGGCTCCCCTGAACTGTCAAAGCCTCCCTGTAGACGCCGTGTTCTGGACTTCAGAGTTTTAAAGCCACGATTTGGGACCATCACTGAGAAAAAGAAAAAAAAAAAGATTAATATTTGATGAATATCAAACACAGATCATGTCAAATGAAGTTGCATGTTTACTGTGTGACAACTGAATAATAAAATACTGTACACTTTACATGGCAAATATTTGAGATCTGTACATAGTGTTTGGAGAGGTGACTTGTTCTGCTTAGAGAACACAGGAGTAACACCGCCCATTCTTGAAAACCCTGAACAGGAAAGCAGAAATTAAACAGTTAATACATGTGGTAAATTTAGCCTTACAATATGAGAAATCTGCACAATCAATTATATAACAATCAAGATTACAGTGATGGATGGCTGCAGCAATTAACTATTGAGTGAACTGTTGAGTGCATAAACGCAAATAAAAGTTCTTTAAACTATCGGTAACAAAAAACAGTCCTAATGAGGGAGGTTTAAGTAGTCTCATTCACAGAAGTGTATTTTATTATTGACATTTCTTTGTGGCACAGGAAAATGCTGAAAAAGTGCTAAATAAACAGCAACACTGACATGGAACCTTCAGTGACAACTTCATCAAATTACAATGAGATGGAATCATCAAAATACCATATAGTATGTTTTATTATTTGAAGTGAATAAAAACAAGATTACAAAATTAAAGAAAATGAACAAAGTTTAAGATTTATGTCATAGGCTCAGGTATCGAGAAAGTGAAGGAACATTATTGTTTTGCCTCACCATGTTTGTTGTGAAAGAACGAATCTGAGGAAAGATGGGAAGTCCTCCAGATATTTGGCACAGTCCTCAGTTGTGAGAGCGACTCCTGCTGAGTAACACAAGGCAGAAGCTTCTGCACCAGCTCATCTAGCTGCCTGACCCCGAGATCTGCCAATCCTAAATCCCGGAGGGTCAGTGATGGCTTCCCAGCACAACACCACAGATGCAGAATTTAAAGAGTAAAACATTCACGGTTAGGATTCAGAAGAGCATCATTCATTTAAAAGCTGCTAACGTTCAACTGCTCAATTTTATAACCACATTTCCAATCAATGACTAGAGGGGACAAAGGGAGGGTTCCAATAACCTACAAGTGTACAGTATTTATCAGTGAACAGATGAATGTAATTACCTCTGTGCAGTTCAGATCTTGTTCAGATGCGTTCTCTCTGTGTTTGTGATTGACTGAAGTATTGCTGCTCACTGAACCCTTCAGAGAGTGCAGGGCATTGATGAGGTGACTCAGCTGGACTGTTACCTGTGGAGATAAACAGCCAAACCAAGTTTTTCATCTTTTGTGTCTTGAGAATTACTTTTTTATAACAGCTTTAATTAAAACATGTAATTTATATTGGGGTGTTCTCTCAAAATGTGAAATTCCACAATGTAAATAATACATCAATGAGTACGTAAACATGGAGTAAAAACAATGGTTAAACCATTACATTTTTGATTGTGTGAAAACGATTTATACATTTCTCAAAAAAAAAAGCCCATTAAACTGTCCATCATTTTCGCCCATAATGAAAATTTGGTTACACTTTACTTGAAGGGGTGTGCATAAGACTGACATGACACCTTCATAATCATGACATGACACATGTCATGAATATGAAGGGTTTTTTTTTATGCATGTTTATGACAACTGTCATTACATGTCATTCGCTCAGTTATGTAATTTTTAATCCAAAGATGACATTGTTTGAGATGTCTTTGTTATGGGCCATGGTTAGGGGTAAGGGTAGGGGTAGGGTTAGGTTAGGGTTAGGTCAAATAATGTCATATTTGCATTAAAAATGACATAACTGAGTGAATGACACTTAATGACAGTTGTCATAAACATGCATAAAACCTCCTTCATATTCATGACATGTGTCATGTCAGTCTTATGCACACCCCTTCAAGTAAAGTGTTACAGAAAATGTTATCTAAAGTTAGTGTACTCATTTATCAAGAAGGCAATAGTATCAGTAAAGCTGACTGGCTGACTCTATCAGTAAAACAGACTGAAATGTCTGTAAAATATTAGACATATTTGTGATATGTGTGGGGGGGGGGATCACTTATGAAAAATATTTTAATTTCCCACGAACTTGGGCCCTCGTTTATCAACAGTGCGTACGCACAGTTTCACGCAAAGCGTGTGATCTACCAACTTGTACTTATATGTAGGAATGCGTGTAAATATAAGGACAAAATATAGAACCTTTTTTACGCACTGTTGATAAATGAGGCGCCGGGATTTTTTTAATTATTTAAAAAGCATGCATATATTATTTACTGTCAGGCTGATTTTAGGATACATGAATAAAAGCTATGAACGTATTCTTAGCAAAATGTCATTGACATATAAGTCGGCTATTAAAACGTAATTTTCAAAACTGAAGCTATTAAACATAATAAAGAATTAAGCACACTTGAAATACTGTGGTGGATTGAATGTTCATGACTTTAAGGGAGATTACAAAAAAAAAAAAACCTAGACTAATAACATGACATAGCCTTTTCTGCATGATGTTCGAAAACTATTCGCTCAAATCTTAAGTGCTGCTTGTTACATATGCTAGCTAACCGGCTAGTCTGCGCACGTTAATTTATGAAACCCGCTGTCCTATATAGACAGTGATTTGATACCTGTGGCTGAAGGGAAGTAGAAAGAGAAAACATTTCCGATTAGCTGATGACAATTTCTTGAAGACAACGGGAGTTTATTGATTTGGAGTTACATGTAATGCCCTCCACCGGTGTCCTCTTCCGCTCAACTAGCCTCTTCTTCTTTTTTAACGGCGGTTGGCATTCATCTTATTGGTGCATTACCGCCCCCTTCTGTTCCGGAGTGTGGATCAGTAAGTAAATTCACCATCTATTTCTACTATAAATTAGGGATAGAGGGGGAAGAGGAAAAAAAAACATTCCAAAAATACAAAATACCCAATAATTACCCTTCCTTCCCATCATATCCTATAATAAAGACCAGTTTCCCTTAAAAAAACCAATAGTTCTCTTTCCTGTGCTCTATCACCCATAGGGTTGTTTTTAAAGTAAATTTCTGCACCCCTACCTCCTTCAGATTATTTTCCATTATCTCTCTCTGCCTGGTATCTCCTACAGTGTAGAATTACATGCTCCACTGATTCCTCTTCCTGACACTCCTCACACAGACCCGTCTGATGTTTCCCTAACATTTTTAATGATTTAGAGCAAGTGTCCCAGCCTTAATCTTGTTAATACAATTTCCTCTTTCCTGTTTCCACTTTCTACCTTATATACTTTGATACTCTTTTGAATACGGTATAGATGTCTCCCTTTCCCCTCATTATCCCACATTTCTTGCCATTTGTGGTTAATATTTTACCAGATTATGCACTTCACTTCTGCTTTACTGATTCTTATTTGCATTTCTACATTTTCCTTCTTCAAGGCCTTCTTTGCGACCTTGTCCACTCTTTCATTTCCCTTCACTCCTATGTGCGCTGGGACCCAAACAAATTAACTTGTTCTCCCTGGTTTGTTATTCTTGTAACTGAAACTAGCCTCCTCCTCTTCTTCTTCTTCTTATTCTTCTTTAATGGCGAATAACTCCCTAGGAGCATTATCGCCACCTACTGTACTGGATGTCAAGTAAACTTACATAGATGATGAGTCTGAAATTTGAGAAGGGGAAGGATTGGGGTGGAAAAAATTGTGGTGGATGTTTCATATTCTCTCCAATCTATGGAGCACTCAGATCACATGCTCATGCTTAGCGCTGCGTGTTCAGCTCCTCTAAAGCTGCGTTCACACCAAACGCGAATAGGGCGTCAAATTCGCGTCTACCGCGTCTAGTTTGCCGCTTGAACATTTTGAATGCATTCGCGCGTCTAGAGCGAAATAGACGCGCGTAAAAAACAAGCGTTTGAAGCGAAATTGACGCGCGTCCGAGGCGAAATCCGCTTCTTGTGGGAGGGGCAAGTGCTAGGCGGTTGTCTGTTTGCAAGATGGCTGATGTTGATCGAGCATTCATCGAGAGAGTTACCGCTTTGTATTTGCTCTGGAGAGCAGAACAGCGGCGTAGGGGTCAGCGTCGCCGTACTTGGGTCCACCAGACCCTCCGGAGGCGTTCCCAGTTTGGCGAGTTTCATCATTTGCTCCAGGAGCTGCGCCTGGATGACGGCCGATTTCAGCGGTACTTCCGCCTGTCTCGCGCCCAATTTGATGACCTGTTGTCCCGCGTCGGAGCGAGGATCACCCTCCAGGACACCAACTACAGGCGCTCTATCCCAGCTGCGGAGCGCCTGTCCATCTGTCTTCGGTTAGTAAATGTGTATGTATTTTAAATGCAGTATATTATATATATTAAATACAGTATGCTAAAATACGCTATGCTACAAGAATGGTCGGTGATAAGCGGCTATTTGGATATGAATGTAAGCATCCATCTTGGCTGAGATGCACAGTGACGGCCTTTTCAAAGGGAAGAAGCTTCTCATAACCTCTTTGTTTAGCACTGTCATTGGAGGTGAAGACAGAGAAGGCAGAAGAGTTAATGTGGGCTGAGTAGAGAGGGCACCACAACTTGGTAAGTTCTTCATGAACGTCCGGAAAGAATGGTGCAAGTCTCTGGCAGGTGGCTTGCTGGTGGTGCCCTTGCAGGAACCATTCATTGAGGCAGCTGTGGGCAGGCTCTTATGGGGCTGACCATTCTAAGCCAAGCTCTTCAAAGGCCTTTGAGAGGATGTGGTTAAGCTCGTTGTCCACACTGGGCCTGACATCACCTGGTTCTCTTGGCAGAAGGGGCCAGGGTCCTCCATGGAGCACAACCATTCCTCCACATCAGAAGTCATCAGAAACATCCTCCTTGGGTCCTCCAAAAGAGACCAGACTGCTCGCTGCTCGCTCCGGGCACTGATCTTCATGGGAGAAGAGAACTAGGGAATCCTCTCACTGTGGGGAAGAGTGAAGAGTGAGGGATGTGTGCTGGCGTGAACTCACTCGGACCCGTCTGCTCATTCCACTGACTCTGACCCTGTTTTGTCTCCTAGGAGGAAGGAAATGGGAGAGCACAAGGGGCGGGGATACTTTCTCATGCTCAATGAGAACAGTCCATCCAAGTGAGTGCTGCTTCAGTGTAGAAGCAGCCCAGACCGGAAAAATAAGGTGGATAAATAAATAAATAAATAAAAAGACAGACTATAACATTGAGGTCTTAATAGTCCTCTCAGTGCTGCAGAACCTTTTCACTACTTTTATTACTTTGAGAAGAATATGGAGGCCCAAACCTTCAGAAATTAAACATAAAAACATAAATAATGTATAAATATTGTATTTATAAAACAAACAGAAATACAAATACAATAAAATAATTTTTTGTATTAAATCTTTATTAATTATTAATAATTAATAATGTTTGGTTTAATATGTACTAGCTTGGGTTAAACAAATCAATTTTGCTTGGTTGGAACTTGGAACAGCAGCTACGCTAATTATGTCTCTATTTGTTTCTGCCGGTAACTAGGATTTACACAAGCTTCAGTTTGGATCCAGAACACTGTGTTAACAGTGTTCATAGTCTGTTTGATTACGTCTTTAATTGATTTTTCCAAACATTTCTGCCATATGTACATTTACTGACATAGTCACCACTGATAAGCTACTACTAAATATATTGTAGAAACATATATTGTACAGCTGCTTTGCAACGATTTGTATCGTGAAAAGTGCTATACAAATAAACTTGAATTGAATTGAATTTCAGCTAAATTGTGAATTTTCCGCATGGGCGAAAAAGTTCCCCACACAGAATTTATTAATGTTAAAGTTCACTTGAATTTACTGCATTGACCAACAGCAAATGACTACTGTGTGAGTGGTGTTTTATGTATCGCTTGATACAGTATACTATTGCGAAAGATATTTTTTGACCACGAAATTTTGCCAAAATTCTCTAAGGTGACCACACCTTCATGCAGAGTAGCCCTGCCCACTGGGGAATTTCACCAGTCCAAAAACGTCCGGTAATTAAAAGTATTTGATGTTTAAAGTGACTTTATTTACTTTATTAGCTCACATTGCTAGTCTTCATGTGAACAATAAATCTGTGAAAGTTAATCCGCTGAAAAAAAAATTGTTTGTCTTGGTAATCTTTAATCAAAATCTGAACATTTGCTTCCGCTCTGGAATGGCATTCCTTCTCTGATGATGTCAGTTTGACGGCTTTGGCAGAATATCCTTTACCACGCCCCTCCAACCGTTAATTTGCTATGAGTGAGAGACGAGAAGAGGGGCACAAAAATAAAACCACGCCCTCTATTCAATACTCAGTTTCAGCTGGAAATACGTCACTACACTGAAATAAAGTCGGCAGCAACTTCCGGTTCACGCAGACTTTAAATGCAGAGCACAAATTCCGAGTATGGGTCACCATACTTGGCCACACACCACTTCACTTTCACTTGTGCTCTGACTGAGCTCCCTTCTGTCTCAGAGGGGAGAGGGCTGTAGCCATGCACTTCGTAAAGGCTCGCATTGCCAGAGAAAGTCTGAATGGAAGGACTGTATATTGGTAAGTCACCCCTTTGAACGTGAATCTCAAGAATGGTCGTGATAAGGGGCTATTTGGATATGAATGTAAGCATCCATCTTGGCTGAGATGCACAGTGACGGCCTCTTCAAAGGGAAGAAGCTTCTCATAACCTCTTTGTTTAGCACTGTCATTGGAGGTGAAGACAGCGAAGGCAGAAGAGTTAATGTGGGCTGAGTAGAGAGGGCACCACAACTTGGTAAGTTCTTCATGAACGTCCGGAAAGAATGGTGCAAGTCTCTGGCAGGTGGCTTGCTGGTGGTGCCCTTGCAGGAACCATTCATCGAGGCAGCTGTGGGCAGGCTCTTATGGGGCTGACCATTCTAAGCCAAGCTCTTCAAAGGCCTTTGAGAGGATGTGGTTAAGCTCGTTGTCCACACTGGGCCTGACATCACCTGGTTCTCTTGGCAGAAGGGGCCAGGGTCCTCCATGGAGCACAACCATTCCTCCACATCAGAAGTCATCAGAAACATCCTCCTTGGGTCCTCCAAAAGAGACCAGACTGCTCGCTCCTGATGAGGGGCACTGATCTTCATGGGAGAAGAGAACTAGGGAATCCTCTCACTGTGGGGAAGAGTGAGGCATGTGGGATGTGTGCTGGCGTGAACTCACTCGGACCCGTCTGCTCATTCCACTGACTCTGACCCTGTTTTGTCTCCTAGGAGGAAGGAAATGGGAGAGCACAAGGGGCGGGGATACTTTCTCATGCTCAATGAGAACAGTCCATCCAAGTGAGTGCTGCTTCAGTGTAGAAGCAGCCCAGACCGGAAAAATAAGGTGGATAAATAAATAAATAAATAAAAAGACAGACTATAACATTGAGGTCTTAATAGTCCTCTCAGTGCTGCAGAACCTTTTCACTACTTTTATTACTTTGAGAAGAATTGGAGGTCCAAGCCTTCAGAAATGAAACATAAATAAATAAATAACAACATTTTTTATTTTTTATTGAATTTTTATAATCTTTCATCATTATTAATAATTACTTATAAGTTTGGCTTAATATATAATATTAAAGGAAGTCGTGGCCTAATGGTTAGAGAGTCGCACTCATAACCCAAAGGTTGTGGGTTCGAGTCTCGCACCGGCAGGGAATGTAGGTGGGGGGAGTGAATGTACAGCGCTCTCTCCCACCTTTAATACCACGACTGAGGTGCCCTTGAGCAAGGCACTGAAACCCCAACTGCTCCCTGGGTGCCGCAGCATAAATGGC